GTTTTCACGGGTGCACACAATTTTAAGGCTTGACATGTTTATCTATTTGTTTTATTTTGCCAAAAAAATTGGATATTATGTTCTGTTTCTGTGCACTAAATTTCATTTTAGTGCATCATATCCTGAATATACTGGTTTGAAAAACTTTTGCGCAAATACAAAGTGCAATATAAAAAATTGTAACTAGCATTTTTTTTTTTATCCTATAGGGCCTTTGCGTTCAGAAAATATATATTTGGGGGTTTTAAGCTGTTTTCTACAAAAAAAAATCAGATTTTATCATGTGTGCAAAAATTTAGAAATTGCTGCGGACAGCAAGTAGTAAACGCAAATCACTTGCAGAGATAGTTGATTTCCCTCAATTTACATAATTTATCAGTATATGTCAAACCAGTGTTAAGCAGGAGGAGGAATGTATTCATCAGGTGCACGAGACTGATGCTTTCAAGGAGTTTATCTTTGGGAAATCACGGATTTCTGTACCCGTGTTATACCCGTGTTTTTTGTTATTTTATACATATATGCTGCTTTTTTTTTTCTTTTGCTTTAGTTTCCCATTAAATATTTTTGGGTAAGGTTGCTCCGTATCATACACACTGTGGATTGTGCTTTTTCTTAATAGTTCTAAATAGGTCTAAAGTGTGTGTGTATGTTATATATATTATACAGTGGCTTGCAAAAGTATTCACCCCTCTTGGCATTTTTCATATTTTGCATTACCACCTAGAATTAAAATGGATTTTTTTGGGGTTTGTATCATTTGATTTGCACAATATGCCTACTACTTTGCAATGTTAAATATTTTTTATTTGTGATACAAACAGTAAATAAGACAAAAAACCCCAGAAAACTTGTGTGCATGACCGTTAACCCCCCCCACACCCAAAGTCAATACTTTATAGTAATGATGCACCAAAATTTCAGCCACAAAGATTTGGGCAAAATGCAGAAAGTACCATAATGGCCGAAAATTCAGTGCATCTCTAGCCTCTCTCCTCCCCGCTGGATGCCGGTCTGTGACCTGAGTTTACAGAGGCAGCGAGGATCCGAGGGGACACAAATCGGCACCCAGCGTGGAGGAGAGAAGCTTTCAGGAGGCTGAGCGAGAGAGAGCAGGGAGGAGAGAGAGCTGTCAGCTGTCACAGGAGGCCGAGCTCTCCTCCTGCACTGCTCCGCTCGGCCTCTTGTGACAAGTGACTCAGGATGGAGAGTGGAGTACAAGCGCTCAGGGATCACTACTGATCGCTGAGTTTGTAAATAACTGAGGACATAGTATGCATACCCAGTTATGAATGAACATGAAGTCCTCTACATCACTTCCTGTTCATTCATGATTGTGGACATAGTAACTCTTACTATTTCCACAGTTTATGAATGGACAGGATCACTCAGTATAGAGGCTTCCTTTCCGTTCATAACAGGGGATGCAGAAAAAGAGATTTAGGACTCACTCTCTTTTTCAATGTTAAAAGGGAAACATCAGGGGTCTGTTTAGACCCCTGATATTTCCCCAGAGCCTCCAACTGTACAGTTAAAAAAAAACAGTAAAAATAATTTTAAGAAATGTAAAAAGGTTGGAAATTAAAAAGTCTTTTTCGGTTTCTGCCTGACTATTTTTATTTTCGGTCTAAAAATTCCACTTCTGTGCATCCCTACTTTTTGTAGAGCCACCTTGTGCAGCAAATACAGCTTCAAGGCTCTTGGGGTATGTCTCTATAAGCTTGGCACATCTGGGATTTTTGCCCATTATTCAAGGCAAAACCTCTCCAGATCCTTCAAGTTGGATGGATTTTACTGGTGTACAGTCATGCCACAGATTCTTTAATTGGATTGAGGTCTGGGCTCTGACTAGGCCATCCCAAGACTGTTAAATGTTTTCCCTTAAATCACTCGAGTGTTGCTTTAGTAGTATTCTTAAGGTCATTGTTCTGCTGGAAGGTGAAAAACCACCCCAGTCTCAAATCTTTGTGAGACAAACTGGTTTCCCTCAAGAATTTCCCGTTATTTCTTCAATTCTGAACAGTTTGCCAGTCCCTGCCGACGGAAAAACATCCTCACATGTTCTTGGGGTGATGAAAGGTCTGGGTTTGCGCCAGACATAGCGTTTTCCTTGAAGGCCAAAAAGCTCAATGTTAGTCTCATCTGACAAAAGTACCTTATTCCATATGTTTGTGAAGTCTCCCACGTCCCTTTTGGCGAACAGCAAAAGTTTTTGCTTATTTTTTTCTGTAAGCAATGGCTTTTTGGTGGCCACTCTTCAATGAAGGACAGATCTGTGGAGTGTACCTCTTAAAGCCTATGGACAGATACTCCAATCTCCTCTGTGGAGCTTGGTTGCCTCTGATTAATGCGCTCCTTGCCTGGTCTGTGAGTTTTGGTGGGCGGCGCTCTCTTGACATGCTTGTAGTGGTGCCATGTTGTTTCCATTTTTTAATAATGGATTTAACGGCGCTCCATGGTATGTTCAAAGTTTTGGGAATTTTTTTTTTTTATAACCCAACCCGGATCTGTACTTCTCCACAACTTTGTCCCTGACCTGTGTGGAGAGCTCCTCGGTCTTCATGGTTCCGCTTGCTTGGTGGTGCCCCTTGCACAGTGGTGTTGCAGACAACACTTTCAGAACATATCATTAATTGAGGGTGCCAATAATTTTGTCCAGTGCATCTTTGGAGATTTCCGTGGAATGCGTCAGATTTGGCTTTTTTTGTTATACCAATACAAACAAAAGAAATAAACACAAGAATGCCTAAACGTTTGTAATTGCAACAATGTTCTGCTTAATGCACCACTTTATCTGCCAGAAATGCAGGGGTGCCAATATTTTTGGCCATGATTGTGTATGTATGTTTATATATATATATATATACACACACACACACACACACACACATACACACACACGTATGTGTGTGTGTGTGTGTGTGTGTGTGTGTGTGTGTGTATGTATAT